GCTCTTTTTGGTGCTGCAGCTTGGTGGGGGGCCGTGCTGTGGCAGCGCAGCCCTGGCCCCCCCAGCTGCAGCTCCAGCCCCTGCCCATCCCACGCCCCTGAGTCCCCATGGACGAGAGCCCTGGGCCCTGTTCCCTTACAGTGTCCCTGGCCTGTCCCATGCCAGCAGCAGCTTCCAGGAAGCAGGACTGCACCCTCGCCGGTGGTTTTAGTGCAGCCAACAGGATTTACACCCCTCTGCTCTCTGCCCACAGGAACGGCTACCCCGACGCCCAGTATCTCCAGGAGGTTTGCACAGTGCTGGAGAGCCTGGGCATCGCGTGAGCCTCCCTGCCAGAGCAGCCGCAGCCTTCGCTTCGCCTCTCTTTCCCACTGACAAAACTGCAGCTCAAGCCAGGCAGTGCAGGAAAACATGGGTGCTTGTGTAGGGAGCTCCTGTGTCCACAGAGGCAGCCAGAAATCTGCATTTAGTGGCCACAGTGCCTCCAGCCCCGCTCCCCACCAGAGCCCACAGCAGAGCTGAGCCAGCATCGACTGCAGCCACTTGCTCAGACATCGCGGTCCTGGAGCTACCACCCCTCCCCAGTGACCAGCTTCACTCCTGGGGAGAGTATCCACAGCTTTCAGTGCCTGCCATTGCTGCTTCCCCTCCAGAAGATATGGGCATGGGCAGTCTCTTGAGTAGAGAAACACAAATAAACAAGATTTATTCCCACATGTTTAGTAGTGGTTGTTCATGCCTTATATTACCCTCACCCCAGACACCCATTTCAATCACACCTGGCTGTAGAGACACCCAGACACAGTAAAGCACAGAGCCGAGCTTTGCCAACAAAAAAATCACCACAGCAGCCCTCCAGAACAGGGCGTTAGATCAGCACAACACTTGAGGCAGCAATTAACAGTTTCCTTGAGCGCAGAAGCATCTTCTCATCCTGGGAGAGTCAGAATTTATAAACTGAGTGTCCACCCCCGACTGCCTGGAGAAGCAGAGGACTGAACAGGATACCACTGAAGGTTTTGTTATGCTTTTAATCAACATCTGAAGCACATAAGGCATATGGTAACATTAGACAGAGGAGCATAACACATTATAGTCATGTAAACAGCATTGGTACACTTGCTTTCTGTCCAACTTGGTTACATGTACAAAGCGGAATATAATTTTTAAACAAAGATTTCCCCTGTGTCTGTGGGATGAGCATCACTCATGTCACGTATCAGCACATCAACGGGACTCAGACAGCACAGACCAGACCATGTGTTGTAGGAGGCTCAAACACATTTCACATCACGCTCATGGACTCCTTGCCACTCACACTTTGCCATCACCAGGGCTTCGCACGCTACAGACTTTGTTAGGCAAGAGGAGTGGTTTTACACCTATGACAGCAGCTGTAAGCGGGCCAGGATCCTGCACCAGTTAAAGCCTGAGGCCCACAGTGTTTCTTGCTTCTTCCTGGTCCATCAATTTGAGTTTAATACCAGTGTCCAAAATGAAATGTACAGCTAAACTCCTTCCCCCACCTCAGAGTCCTTGGCTCCTCTGCACAAGCTAAGGCTGCGGCTGCTCCCTTCACCTTCTGCAGTTCAAGTACACCACAAGCTTGAGAGAAACCAGAGTCAAAAACGGGACAAAATCTGCCTGGTGATGGGAAAGGAGCTGCGTTTTGTCCAGGGCCAGCAGCATCCGTCTGGGACGGCGACTGCAGCCCTGGCACAGAAGTGGCACTGGCACAGGCACCCCCGTGCTGAGCAGCATGGCCCTGTGGCACAGCTCCATGGCAAAGGGCAGGGCCATGGCTGCCTCTCCCCTGCTCCTGAACTCACCCTTTCCACTTGGGCTCCTCATGGCACAACCTTTGGATCAGACAATCAGTAAAATCAACATTAAATTGCACTTCTGGTAGCTGGAATGGCACGCGTAGGTAAACCACCGGACTCTCCCATTTTCTCAATAGCACAACTTTGCCCTAATAAACAGTTAAGCAACATTGAGTGGAATTATTTTTGTCCTAGGGTTGTTTGGTTTTTGCTTTGGTCCTTAGTAACAAACCTGCTGGTTAACTTTATGGAGTAAGACACTTGAAGTTGCTTTACATAGGTTCTATAGTTATTAGCCCATAAAATGTTTGTCTGTTAAAAAAAGTAAAAAAAAAACCACCAACCAAAAAACCAAGCAAAACTAAAAACCAACCAACCAACCACATCCACCTAGAGCAGAGCACTGACCAGTGAGGCAGTGAGGAGCAAGGATATGCTTATCCTGGTTTTGCTGTAGAAAACACTGTTGCTATCAAGGGACATAAAACAGCCAGTGCTAAACTCTAGCAAGGAGTAACTGCTCAGCAACCCCACCCCGATAAGGGCTGCAGGGATTTGTAAGGAGATTTCAGAGCAGTTATCGAAGGAGTCAGGATGGTTCCCAGAGCCAAGGCTGGGGCAGCAGATGGAGCCTTGCGTGCCCAGGGCTCTGCTAGGCTGGGGACACAGGGGGGTGGGAACGGCTGCAGTGCATGAAAAGGGGGCATTTTACTCACAGTCAGACCATGCCACCAGTGTTTGCACACAGAGCCAGCAAGAGCTGTGACAGGTTTTTGGCAATACTTTGAAAGGCCAGAATGGAAAAGGCTACAGTGACTTCTCAGTCCTTACAGGCATGTAGAAGGCACTGAGATAGTTTTCCATGGTGTAGCATCCCACGGGAAGTCGCAGGACCCCGCTTCCCTCCTGCTGCATCGGCAGGGATGGACTGCGAAAGCCATGCTACGCCACCTGGTCCAAGGCCACCAGTAAGGCACCGAGACGTGCTGGGGAGCAAAGCCAGGCGAGGACGTCACCGTAAAATGCAACTTGGTAGTCTGCCCCTATACAGGTGTGCAGAACCTGACAACACGCAGGGTTGTGTGCCGTTTGAGCATGCTGCTCTTTCACCAAGGTGGAGTCCAGTTTCTTGGAGGAACAGGTCCAGACTTCCCATTTCAGCCATTTAGAGAGTCCTTCTGTTGTCAGACCTGGTAAAGCAGCATCAGACACTGTTGAATTTAATCTAAATTAGCATGACAGGGCAGGCTGAAAGGAGAAGCAGCAAGATTTTGAATTCAGAAAGGTTAAAAGTTGTGCTTTGAGTTTTATCAGACCGCAATTATGAGGTTCACACATCAAGTGTGAGAGATGGACTGACAAGGATCTGAGACAGGGCTCCAGCCTCTGAGGCCATAGGGCATGGAGTTGTTTTAAAGTTATCCAGGGCAAGCCCACCAGAGGCTGTGCCTGCGCATCTCTAAGGGGCGGCAGAACGAGGGACCTGAGCACCTGAACAGAACCCACACTGGCACAGATGAGCCCTGGAGGGCAGAGCTGGGAGGAGAGGCCACAGTGCTCATAAACACAAGGCTCCATGCCCCATGCAGTGCTTGGTTGCTCCCGAGGGGCTTTGCACACGGAGGCCCTTTGCCCAGTGGCACCTTCCCTCTGGGCTTGGTTAGTGAAGCAGGGCTCCTCCCAGCAAGGGTTTGCTCCTGGAGCCTGAGCTATCCCATGATGGACAGCTCTTCCTGGCACCCTCAGGTTTACCTGCTCTAACCCAAGATGAAGCCCAAAAGCCTGCAGCACTGACAATCCATGACAAAGCTCAAAGTGAGCTCAGACAGCACCAGGGTCACTGGGGGCTCAGCAGGGGGTCCAGCGGGAAGGGAGGCATCAGCCAGAACACGGGTGCTCACAGAGCCAGGCTGGGTCCCCACAGAGCCACACTTTCAAGTACACAGAAGGAAAAGCAGAAGAGAAAGCAAGTTCTGGTCCAGGAGGAGCACCCCAGGCAGGTCCTAAACCCCCGGGCGCTGGCAGAGCCCGCAGGTACCAACCCGGCAGCTGCAGGGGCAGAAGAGTCGAGCCCTGCTGCACCACGAGCAGAGAGCTGGCTTGAGCAGGCATCAAATGAGCTGCGAGGAGACAATGGAAAGCATCATTTAAACTGCTCGAGAGGCCTGGCACTGTGGGTAGTTCACCATCTACACCAGTGACTCAGCAACAGCTTTGCTGAGCGGCCACAGGAAGAGCCAGCCCAGGCTGCGGGGAGCAGGTTACAGGAGCAGCTCTTCCAAATTATTCCTGAACTGCAACACCTTCCCAGTGCACAGCACAGCACAAGCATCAACAGGGGCTTATTTTGTTCCCATCTTGCTGAAGTCCGATTCAATTCAACACTGCAGCCCTTGGAAATGCAAACACCAGGGCAAAGTTTAGCCTTAACAATACCAACTTGGAGCCCAACATTAATAAAGCACAGAGCCAACATCAATTGTTCCAGTCGTTTGAGACACAGTTGAGTCCTTATGGTCTCTCAAAAAAATCAGACATAGTTTAGATCTCCCTATACGGTTTGGGATCAGAAAATGGACAAGATCAAGTTACCTAATTGAAAATTTTCTTCTGTATTCAGACACAGCCCAGCCTGTCGTGTCATTTGCTGGCTGCACAGAGATATGACTGCAAATTAAGTGCAATAAGCCATAGACTCCAACTGCCAGGATGTTTTTTTACATGGCAAAGCCAACACAACCTGTCGCTATCTGATTGGTGTTAAAGGTCTATGAGAGCAAAGGGAAAAGAACATGGTTACTGTAAACAGAAGAGCAGCCCCTGCTAGAATTAAGCCAGGCCAGCCATGCTGTTCCTCTGGCTGTTGAGGAAGCATCCTAATTCTGGCCCATTCTCCTGCTGAATTTCTCCTTATGACCCAGCCTCTCAAAGGTGACAACACAATTGCTTCAGCAGGGCTGTTTCTGTGGGGATACCTGGTAGTGGCTACAGTACTTGACATCCCAACTCCACAGGGACAGCCTATGCAGCTGTTAATCACCAACTGCCTGGAAGATTCAGCTGCACTGCCAGAGAAAATTAAGGTTAGTTTGGAGATTCAGTAGAGAGACAAACGATTAGAAAAACGTACAAAATAAAAAGGCTTCAAAACAGGGCGCTAGGGCAGGCAGACTCTCTGGCAAAGAGTCAGTCACAGCGAGAGCGTGCAAACCTCATCTGAGCTTTAACCATGATGTTCTTGTACTGGTGAAGATGGAAGCTACTGATCTGTCCATTTCCAGGTCCCAAAGAGATCAGGGAGTTAAACCATGAATTCACGATCCGCACACATCTCTTCTCCTTAGTTCTCTTCTTTTTTGGATTCTTTCTTGGGCGCTTCAGGAACCAGGATGACCTTCCCAACATTCTTCTTCTCCTGCATCCGCCTCATGGCATCTGCCACCTGGAAGCAACAGGAGCCTTGTCAGACGCACAGCATCACGCAGAGTGGTAGTGCCCTTCCTGGGCCCCTTGGTCCCCCCCACTGGTTCAAGGAACACCCCTGGCAGCCCCAGCAAGCACCAAGCGTTTGGGTGCCTCTGCACAGATTTATTTTGGACAGAGATGGGCAGCTACCCCAACCTGCCCAGAGGATGCTGTCCTCAGGAATTCACAGACCAACCGTGACATCGCAGGGGTGCTCTGCTGCGCAAACCACAGAAGAGTGAGCACAGCTGCCTTTCCAAACAGAGGGGAGCAGTGCAGAAACCCAGCCAGCACAGAAGGACAATGCTTCAGCATTTGCCTCAGACTACTTCTCAGGTATTAACACCAACTGATTGCTACCAAGTCCTTTGCTCCCCGCAGCGAGTCCTACCCCAGCCCAGGATTTCCAAGGCAAGAACCTGACTCTGCCTGGACACATTGATGCAACAACGCTGCACACAGTGGAGCTGCTGAAAAAACCTGCTGCTCCCTTCCAACATCCTCGTTCTCCTTCACGGCCTGGGCTCTTATTCACTCCTGGAAGGGCAGCAGCAGCCTTCCCAGCTGTCTGCCTAATTACATGGTGCAGACTCCAGGCAGTTTCCAGTCTGGTGCATAACCCAGAGAGCGCAGCTCAGCACCTGCCCTATTCCATGGGGACGCTGTCTGGCACTGCCCAGCGCTGTGCACTGGAGCAGAAGAGCTCAGCCACTTTAAGTCCCCTTAATATCTTAAAAGGAGAAAGACACTGTCCAAGAACAGATGATTATTGAGCATTCACAGCAGTCCAGCCCCCATGAAAAAGGTGCTCGTACTGATCCAGAGCTCACTGTGCAGAAAACAATTGCCCAGTAATTTCTGGGTGCTGCCAGCCTTTATGTTAGCCGAGACTCACCTGATCAAAGGACCATACTGAGTCTATTTTGGGCTTGATTTTGCCTTGAGTGTACAGGTTGATCAGCTTGGCTATAACACCTCCGACAAGCTCATGTTCATCAGCCATGTATCCAAGGTGGTAGCCACACACAGCCTTGTTATGGTGTAGGAGCTGCAAGGCATTAATGCTGAACTGGTTCCACCAGGTTTTAGCCATAGCCATGAGGTTCTTCTTTTGCCCAGTGATCAGGTTTGCTACCCCTAAAAGAAGGCAAGGACAGATGAGCTGGAACCAACACAACACGAGCAGCACTGGGCACTCCAGGGCACAGCTCAGACGATACGTGGGGTAACAGCCCCTCAAGGCTATGGACAGAGGTGGATCTGGATCACATCAGGATCTGTCCAGGTGACCTTCAGTAGCAACAGGTACCTGCCTCAGTCTCAGGATATACAGAATTTGGGTTAACGGCACCCACGTATTGCAAAAATATAGAACAATGCCTCTCAGGGGGGCAGCAGCAGCGCAGCTGGAGCGTGCTGAGGACAACGGCAAGGGGGGTAATGGACCCAGCCAGGCCAGCAGGACAGCACTGCCCTTCTGTGGCTGGGCTTCTTCGGGGGATCTACACACTGCGGTGGCCAGGAGAAGAGAAGCCACACACTGGTGCAAGTGTCTGGAATCCCACTGGGGGCTGTGTGAGGGCTTTGTCTATGGGACAAAAATCTCAGTGTTTCAGGACTGGGGAATGGAGAGATAAGTATTCAGTAGCCTCAAACCTCATCACCCACACATCCTCTAGAAGAAAAGCAAGGCTCTATTAGCACTGTGCATTAAGTCAGCCCAAACAAAGTCGCTGTGCCAGCATCCTCCGTGAGGACATTCCAGCTTCCCCTGTGGGCACCAGCTCGTACTCCAAGAGAGAACTTGCCATGGGAGGGAAAATCCTCGGAGCCTATGACCAGAGCTCTCAGGACAAGGCACAAATCTCATTCCTCTCAAGTGTTTCACCTGTGTGCGGCATCCTAAAGACCTTTGCGAAATAACAGAGCTACAACACAGACAGCAACAGCAATGCTCCCGCATGGCTGCACATCCAGGCACAGAGCAACGCAGAGCATTCCCGTGCAGATCCACGGCTGCTCTGCATCACACCATCCCGCCCTGCCGCCACACCATCCCAGCCACACAGGAGCTGGGACTTGGACATGTTGCTTACACCCACCGTAACTGATGAGTTTGCCCATTGGCTTCAAGAGGTTAAATGCTTTGGTTGTATCGGATCCTCCCAGGGGGTCCAGGACAATGTCAACACCTAGAGGGAATTGAAAGTAACTAGGAGTTGCTTTGCACTTGAAAGAAATGAAGGTCGGTTGTAGAAGTCCTCCACCGCACAGTACCTTTGGGAGAGATTTTCCGGATCTCATCTACGTAATTCATCGTTCTGTAGTCAATAGGGTGAGTGACTCCGCTCTCCTTGAGTGAATCGTGCTTGGAGGCAGATGCTGTGCCAAAGATGGTGACATTTTCTACAGTCTTGCACAGCTGGATGACAGCAGTTCCCACACCACCTGAAAACCAGCAGTGAGAAAGGCTTAGAAGCAAACAGCCCTGGTAGTCAGAAAAGCCTCTGGACAAGTAAATCATCTCTGCTTGTACTGATCACACAGTAGCGGGGGGGGGGCGTGGAATAAAGGCAGGGGCAGGCTGACGCCTGTGATACTGGGGGAGACCGACCCCAGCTGCTGGGAAATGGGCTCAGCATCTGCCAGTGCAAAGCCTGCATCTCTGACAGGCGACATGCTGTCAGTGCAGTCCTGTCCCCATCACCTCCTCACCCACACCACCCCTTCGGAAGCTGCACCTTCGGGCCAAGGGACACCACACAGGCTGGCCAAAACCATTTACCTGCAGCCATGTGGATGAGGACGCTCTGGTTGGGTCTCAGGTTCCCAAAGTCAAACAGGATCATGTAGGCAGTGATGTAGTTGACAAGAAGAGCAGCTGCTTCCTCAAAGCTCATCCCCTCAGGCATCAGGAAAGTTTGCCTAGCCGGCACATTCACAATTTCTTGCCAGAGCCCTACCGTGGCCAGGACCATTACCTTATCGCCAACCTAAAATCAAACAAAGGACAAGGTGGTCTGAAACGAGCCCTGGGCTAGCAGAAGTCATCACATCCTTGCCTTCCGCACGCCAGAGCCAGGTACATGTGTGCTGTTCTTCATGCAGAGATCTGCAGGGACTGCAGCACCTCGGGGCTGGGGCGGGAGCCCACAGCCTGTGCTCTGCTCCTCGGGCAAACCGCACCACAGCGCCTCTCACCACAGACCTGGGCATGGGCCAGGAGCCGCAGAGGGACCGCAGGCACCCCAGGCTCTGGCATGGTCTGACTGGCATCCCCTAAAATCTACTTTTATCCCACTGTGCAAAAAGCATCTGCTCAGTGTGCAATGAGAAGGAGACAGCAAAACATCAGGCAGCAAAACATCAGGCAGCCGTAGCAGCAAGGAGACAAGAGGCACTAAGGCAGCGACCAGAAAGGCTCCTCCTGTGTGGGTTTGGCATTTACACTTGAATAAACCAAGATTACTCCCTCCCCTCCAGGAAAACATCTTTGACACACTGGGCATTTTTGAGACACTTTGTGCACCCAAGAATCATCTTAAAGCACCAAATTGCAACAGCCCTGAGATCCAAAGCTCTGGAACACACAAAGCCAACTCCTCCATCCCAAAAGTCCCCCAGCCACAGGCTCATGGGCCACAAACCCACCACCAAAAGTGACCAAACCGTTAGTGTCCACACCTCCACACCCTCGGGTGGCTCCGCACAGCTCTGCAGCGGCTGGAGATGCTTCCTTCCACGTCTGTGCAGTTTAAAAGGACAGTGACAAGCGTGGTCACAAACAGCATGGCCACGCTTCAGCCCAACACCCAGCGCTCGCCGTTAATTACATTTCGTTCATGCAAACGCACCCGGCCGTCCCCGGGGAACGTGGCTGCTCCCAGCGCTTCCGCACGACTGCGGGCTCCGAAGACCCCGGCCCTTCGGGGTAGGCAGCGCTGCCACCGCGGCTGGGGGAGCATCGGGGGGCGAGGGCGGCCGGGCCCTGGGCGGGGAGCGGCGGGGACGCCCGGCCTCTTTGTCCGGGCTTTGTCTGCCTCGGGCGGGATCGCCAAAGGCGCCTCCAGCG